TGGTTTGGTTTCTCCGTGTTTATTTTGTGTTTTGGAAGATCTAGCTGTTCCTGTTGATTCCTTGATTTGGGGGAAGCTGTTTTTTGGGGTTTTATTGTAATGGTTCTTCGATTTGTTCTGATTTTCTTGCGCTGTAATCGGTAATTTGAAGTCGAAATGGAGAGGAGGATGAGGCTGTTGGATTTAATTTAAGTAGCGGATCATTGACAGCTAATGACTTGTTATTATTGTTTATAGCGTTCTTGCAGTCTTCCGAGTTGTTTAATTATTGTGTTAATTTGTTGAGAAAATCCTCAAGAAGTACGGTTTAATTTGCTTCTTTCAGTAGTTTGACTTGCTTAGTTGAGATTGAATCAATTGTTTTCCATTTCTCTTATGGTAATAAGCGTTGCATGTGCTTAATCTTTCACTTTTGTTGCTTTTATGTGTGATTTTATCAGGGATTCTTGGAATTGGGAAGGAGATGGGTATACCATTCAGAAGGATGCGGATTTAGGTGAGTAATTTTCTTGTTTACTTTGTTTGTTATGTGTTATCTGTGAGATCCCACATTAGTGGAAGAGAGGAACGAAACATTCCCTATAAGGGTGTGGAAACTTCTATCTAGTAGACGTGTTTTAAAACCTTGAGGGGAAGTCTGGAAGGGTAAGTCCAATGAGGACAATATCTGCTAGTGGTGAGCTTGAGTTGTTACATTATTGGTGAGATTCCACGTTAGTTGGAGAGAGGAACGAAGCATTCCTTATAAAGGTGTGGAAACCTCTCCCTAGTAGACGCGTTTTAAAACCTGGAGGGGAAGTTCGGAAGGGAATGCTCAACGAGGATAATATCTGCTAATAATGCGCTTGAGTTGTTATATTATCTGATCACGTTGTGTTAAGATTCATCCTTGGGACCTTTTTTGTTTTCATTGTCATGAGCAGAGATATCAGAATTCCTGTGGGACGGGGTATCCGAAAATGGAAATCTTTCGTACGTGTTTGATGAAACAACTCCTGTTAAAGCTTGTGGGGACTTGGCATTCAATGTTTCATATAGTGGTAAGAACATTACACTTGATTTTAATCTAAGGGGTCGTTGGTTCTTTGTCATTTCTAATGTGGAGAAGTGGGTTTCAGATGACAGGAACAAGAAATCAGAAGAGTCCAGGGAGACTCAATCACAGGCAAAGAGACGTCGGATGTTACAGTTTACTGCACAAGATATGGAAACTTCCCTATGCAATGAAGATTTATCTTCTAGATTTCTAAAAGCACATGTAAGTGATATGCACTTCCTGGTGTATGGTTGTAAGAATTCGGATCGACTTCAGTCAAACATGTCAATTCTAGAAGTTGTTCTATGTTTATTGCTTGTAGTTGCAATAAGTTTGCTTTGATTTTGATTGAGTTTGCTAGAAAGAATATATAACGTACTACATAGTTTAGGAGAGAGAATCAATCTTCAGTTAGTACGCTCGGTTAACGTGGTTCTACCATAGCAGGGCGCAATCATACTCAAAATTTAAGTTTGATCCTGGCTCAGAAGGAACTCTAGCTATATGCTTAATACATGAAAGTCGAATGTTGTTTAATAAAAACCTGTGCCAACACCTTGGATGCAAAAAGTTTTTTTTTTTTTTCTTAAATAGAGGGAGAGTCGAGGGGGCTTCCGCGGGCAATTCTAAGTTGCTCCAAGGAGCTTATTGTCGATCTTTAGTGTTCGGGAGATATGCTTTTAACAAGGAGCTCCGTCGATAGGAGCTCCTTTTCAAGCTTATGGTCCATTTTTTAAAAAATCAGGCTTCTCATTTGTCTTTTCTTTCAGCACTTGCTGCTTGCGGTCGATCCTCTTAGATGCAAAAACTTAAGTTCTCCACTATGATATTAGACTTGTCGATATACTCGTAGAACTTGTATGAAATTTGTTGTGGCCTTTTGTTCTATATCCAGAAGAAGGATGTTTCCAGTCCAGCTGCTCTCCCGGAAGCTTCATACGGGATTCCCGAGTGTTCTCAACTCTCAGGTTTGTCTCAAACACGATACTTTATACGGGATTCCTGAGTGTTCTTGGATTTGTCTAATCATATAATGTATTTGCCTTAGATAATGTGTCCACTTTCTGTCATGAGAATTTGGATCACTCACCTGAAGGTTGGATTGCTGAATGCTTTACTGATGCTGATATGCTTTGCAGCCCTGAGGATTTGTATGTGTCTTGTTTGCATCTGAATTGTTTTGCTTACAATTATTAATGTCGATTACGTTAACGTCTTAAAATGTGGAACTCAGGAACTTTGTTGGGACTCCGGACATTCAAATTGATGTATCAGGTGACGTTCGTTAAACCATTTGTTTAAGTGTTGATCTTGTTATGGTAGATGACATTAGTTTATTCGAACGTGTAGAGTTTTGTGACGTCATACCTGAGTTCAAATCTAATGCTGTCCAACATCATCCTACTCGAACTCCTCGGAACATAATCTTTAAAGGTTCTATTCTGCTCAAGTTTTTTGATGCATCATTTTGTCTATGGACCGTATTCCATTTTCTCGTGTCACCGAGTTAATGTCTTGCATACCGTTGGCCTGTACGTGCAGGTCGAAAGTCATACATTAGAACTCCCACTAAACTGGCTTCTTCAATTGCCTACCCATTTGCCTTCATCAAGCCCTGTGGATTCCATGGCGACGTTACCTTGAAAGACATAAACCAGCGGATCCGCACACCTCCACCGTCAAAATCGAAGCATCATCCGGAAGACCCCTCTCTGTCTTACCCAACTTCAGCATTCTCTGGAAAGCCCGTGGTAGGTAAAACCAAGATTCATACCGAAGGCGGTAAGGGAAGCATCACAATCATGAGGACCAGAGGTTGAACAAACCGAAAACGATTTCCGCTATCCAGACTTTCCTTTTAACTGCCCGTCGGTCCATCCCGGGGGGATTTGTAAAATGTCAGGGCCATCAAGTAAGTAGTACAGAAGGTGATTAACTTCCATTTTTGGTCGGGATAGATAGATAGATAGATAAATAGAAAGAAAGAGACAAAGAGAGAGATATGTAGGAGTATTAGAGTTGCTCTTGGAATCCCTAATCATATGTTCGAGTTTGTCGACAGATGTTTACGCTTCCAGGTGAACTCTTGTAGGTCGTTCGAGTTCAAGCTCGACACCGATATGATTATGCATCGTTTTTAGATTTGAAAACACTTCTTATCATTATGTTTATTATCAAATCATTCCATTCCTTATGCATTGTGAAACTGTTCTGTAATGCTTTTGCTGGAAAGCTTAAAAGAATTGGATCTCTCTCTCGGGTTATTTTCCTTGCCCTTATTTCATTTTTTTTTATTTTTCGGAAATTTATATATATATAGTTATATGCATTTTAATTTTTCAAATCTTGCTTTCAACACTCTTTTTCGAAATCTCTCTGCCCTGTTTTCTAAAACGTTCTTGAATCGGGACCAAAAGTTCGAGCATACGTTGCTTGGTTGTAGACGCAAGAACGAATAGACTTAATTCAATTGTTGTTGAGAAATGAGTGCAAGTCCGCTGCCATTAAAGTGCGATTGTGACGAGTGATGTATGTGTATATATATATATATATCTAGGATGGGACGACTGAAGCAAGGACATGGAATATAATTCAGGTACCGTTTAGCTATTAGGGAGAAATCTCTTTTGACTATCTCTCCTATTTTCCGCCCCATCTGAACATAATAGTGATGATTTAATTGAAAATATGCGATCATGTTTGATAAAAGTAATAGCTAAGTCTATCTATTACAGATGAACCAATGAGAGCAACTAATAGAGTAGCAGGCAAAGATTGATATACACTTTGTGAATACAAAGATTGAAATTCTTGAGGGATATTTTACAACAACTAATCTTTGTGGGCGCAAAATGATATCTCTACTCAAACTTGAGCATCTTCAGATCCTCAAATGATCAAAGAAATGAGTTTCAAAAGCAGAATCAAAAAGCGTCGAGGATTTCCAAGATGAAATCGCTGCAAGTGGGACAGTTCCCGCGGCTAACCATGAATTCCTTCGAACACAGCCTGCAAAATGTATGCCCGCATGGCGCCAATGCCGCGTTCTTATGCTTCACCATGCAAACGCAGCAGGTGAATTCTCTGCCATGCCCGTCGTCTTCATCTTCGTAGTAGTCTTCGTCGTCATCGTCGTCGTCGTCGAAGAAATCTTCTCCAAATCCCATTCCGTAATTTGATCCTCCGAATCCCATTTCCTTATCCGTCTCGTGCAATAGGTCCATCAGCGATATCCTTACCGGCTCAGACGACGGCGAGTTCTCCTCCTCCTCCTCCTCCTCCTTCTCCTTCTCCGATGCGGTTGTTGAGTCTTCCTTCTCGTTTTCGTTTTCGTCTTCCTTCTCGTTGTTCTCGTTTTGTTCATTGTCTTTTTCTGTAGCTTCCGCGGCGGCTGCTGCTGCATCGGCTGCTTCTTGTGCTGCTACGGCTTCTCTAGCGGACATCATTCTCGACTCTGAGAAATTGAAGTGTCGTGCTCTGTTATCGCGATCTGGTTCCGTTGGATCCGTGTAGTCCATTGCAGAGACACGGATTGAGTTACGGCGCGACATTTGCGGTTTCATGGTTCGATTCGGCGCTGCATCTGGAACTGACGAGTAATCGAAGGACTCATCGTAATGGAACGCGGACGCATCGTTCGGGTTGTTCAATCTGGAAGTCTGTCGAGACATCTGACGGCGAGTGGATTTGGAAGATTCTTCAGACGGACGAGTTGAAGAATCGGCGGAGTTTTTAGACGGAGACGCGCTGAAACGGGCTTGATTTCGCTTTCCGGCTGTAGATCGCTTGTCTTGAACAGGAATATCGGAGGTCGGAATAGGAACCGTCGAGACCCAAGCAGAGCCAGCGCGCTTCAGCCGGAGCTTATCCCTAAAGGACTTCCAAGTTCTTCTGTCCTTTCCGAAAAGTCCCTTGCCGACGCTGGGCTCCTCGTCGCGGATTATATCCAGCAGCGTTCTGCCGCGGATTTCAGCGGCCCGTGAAGCGGCCGGTGGCCCTAATCTATTGTTAGCCAGAACGTCGTCCAGAGTATAGCCTGCCAGGCTACGGCCATCCTCAACTATCGACATCTGATCGAAATCTGGAGAATCGAAACAACCTTCCGTGTTCACGAAGATCACAAAAAGGACAGAAATATCAACGGAATGCAGGTCAGTAGAATCAATAGATCATTATATTTCTGGCAAAACCTATTAGTGATGCAAATCGATGAACATCAACAACAGAATCAAGTTAACTTCCACGAATTCCTGCTTTATTCTGAGATTGAAAGGAAAAAAAAAAAAAAAACTCAGTACCTTGTGATTGTTAATCGAAAATCTAACAGGAATTGCTCGAGCTTGGAAGGAATCAAGAAGAAGAAACTCAGGTATTTCAGATCAATTCCTCTGGTCTTTCGATCAATTACTGATACAAATATGATGGCCATGAAAATCAAATTAAGCTTCAGCAGTTCATGCATTAATCATCTTAGTTTCTTGATCTTGTGGAATTAAAAAAGCATTTGGAAATTGCAGGACAGAAAAGAAACCCACCATGGAACGAGGGAGATCCAATGTTAAATTTGACAGCAAATGGCTTCTACAAGAACTGTGGGGCTTGGAAGGAAGAAGAAGAAGAAGAAGAAGAAGAAATTCAGGTATTTCAGATCAATTCCTCTGGTCTTTCGATCAATTACTGATATAAATAGATGGCCATGAAAATCAAATTAAGCTTCAGCAATTTATGTATTAATCATCTTAGTTTCTTGATTTTGATACAAATAGATGGCCATGAAAATCAAATTAAGCTTCAGCAATTCATGCATTAATCATCTTAGTTTCTTGATCTTGATACAAATAGATGGCCATGAAAATCAAATTAAGCTTCAGCAATTCATGCATTAATCATCTTAGTTTCTTGATCTTGATACAAATAGATGGCCATGAAAACCAAATTAAGCTTCAGCAATTCATGCATTAATCATCTTAGTTTCTTGATCCTGTGGAATTAAAAAAGCATTTTGAAATTGCAGGACAGAAAAGAAACACACCATGAGAGAGTGAACGAGGGAGATCCAATGTTGAATTTGGCAAGGAATGGCTTCTGCAAGAACTGTGGGGATTGGAAGGAAGAACAAGAAGAAGAAGAAGAAATTCAGGTATTTTAACTCAAATTCCCTTGTTTTTCGATTGATTTCATTTTTTTTTTTGTTGCGTTTGTCGTAAAAATAAAATAAAATTATAATGGGAATGAAGAGTGTGGAAGGGAAGCAATTGGTTTGGAGAGGCTGTCCCCATTTTTCGGGAAGCTTTGAGGTCGTAGAAATTTGCTTAAACAAAGTTTTGTTACATTTTTTTTTAAAAGAAAATGCATTTTTTAATGAGAAGCCATCAAAGCTTCCTTTGTAACTTTCTTTCAATATTTGGTTGGAAAAAATGCAGTTTTTTTTTGTTGATAAATTTCCATACAAAATAAATTAAAAAAAGCCATAAAATTTGTATTTTGTTTTTTAAAAAAATATTTTTTAATAATACCTTCAAATAAAAATAAAAATAATTCTGAAAAAGTATGGGTTACAATAAATTTTTTAGTTTTTTATGGAAACTATAAATACCTTAGTTACTGTTTCTTTAATATCCTCGAAAAGTACTTTTATATGTCTATTTCTAAAAACATATTTATGAAATTTTAAAAGTTATATTAACCCATAAGAAAAAAGCTCAAAAATATTTTTATGGTCAATGTTATAGACGAAAACTATCTATTGACACTTTAGATTATCTCCAAATTTTTTAACGTTGTTTTTTTAAAAGTTTATGAGTATTTTTTGAAACGTGGTACTAACGATAAAAGTATTTTTGAATATTTCAAAAAAGTTTAAAAGTGTCTTTTAAAGTTTTAAAAAAGTTCTAAGTGTATTAATAAAACTTTCAAAAGGTAAAAAGGTATTTTTGAAATCTTTCTAAAAACTAAATGGTATCTTGAAACAAAGTTCAAAGGTATCGTGAAACAAAATGTTAACGGTTCGTTTAAAATTAATGACAATGATATTTTTGAAATTTTCTTTAAAGTTTTAAGAGTATTATAGAAAGTTTTTTTTAGTTAGGTAATTATATCGAAATAGATTAGTGCTCTTCAAATCTAAACAGTGTGCTAATATTAAAAAAATGCTTAAAACAAAATGTATTTTTGAAGATCACTCAAACTAAAATATTCTTGGAAAATAATTTCAAAATAGGCTGGCAGTTGTGATATAAATATAGTAATCCTCCCTAAATTAAATAATTTCTCCACACAAAAAAAAACTTATCAACTTACTTAACCTTAATTATTTAATTTGTTATACTGGATTCATGAATTAAAATGCTAATATGCTAAAAATTGATACAATTTAAAATTCATATAATGGTCATTCTTTTAGAATTTATGGGAAAAATATAAACTTTGAAGATATTAGAAACAAAATTGAAAAATATTCCAATATTAGGAACTTGTTTTGTATAGACTCAAAAGTATATACATACTTGGAAGAATTCGATGACAAAAAAGGTATTTCCCCCAAAAAAAAATAAAGTCTTTTGACTTTTCTGGTCTGAGTGCTCAGAAAAATTGAAGAAAGGTTGGTATGAGATGGCATTGCATGAGCCTCACCTGTCCAACGCTCATTAGGAAATAAAATCAAAGAAATCATGAGATTCATTGTCCCACCAACCCCATTTCCCAATACCCTTAAAAACCTCTAAATCCACCGCCGTCCCTTTGGCTGCAGAACAAGAAAGATTTGCCTCCCCGATTACACAACTCTCTTCCAAGCTGCGACCATGGATGGCCGCACGGTGTTCACTTTGGCTGAGGTTGCCTCCCACGACAACCGCAACGACTGCTGGTTGATCATTGAGGATAAGGTATGTGTTCATTTGTCTGTGTGACCCAATGTGGCTTTAAATTCTTTACATGGCTCGGCTCTTATTTTCTGTTTGATGGGTTTCTGGCTTTTGCTCTCCTTTGTATGATTCTTTTCTTGTTTCTGATTTATATGGTTCACGGTTCACTGGGTATGCTTTCTTTTGATTGATTGAGTTTGATGAATGGGATTACTGTTCTGTGTTCTGTTTGAGACTGAATAGGGCTCGTGAATCTTTATGGGCTAAAAAAAGTTTAAGGTCGTTTTGATTTGATAGGTCTCTAAAATTGCTAATTAAAACTCTAACCTTTTAATTTTGGGTCTATGACATTTTTTTTTTACATATATGTAATATAGGCATAAAATTGAATTTCAGTAGAACCTTAATCATTTGATCTTGTCTCAGACCATTTTTGTGTGATAGGTAAATCGTATTAGACACAAAAATAAAATGAGTTAACTAGAGTATAGTTTAATGGATTAAAATATATACAGTTTAATAGATTAAAATATATACACGCAGTTAAAGTGTCTCCATTTTTGTAAGTCGTTAAACTCAAAAAAATTACCTATTACATAGTTTTTTTTAAAGTTGACAGAAGACTAACTTAATTGAGTCGAAATGAAAACAAAAAAAGTAGTGTGTTAATATGATAGAGAACCAAATGGGAGTCACGGGATAAACCAAGTGACCAAAGCTTAATAATTACGAAAATCCTAGAATAAATAGGTCAATATGTTAAGTAGTGAATAGGGTTTCTTAGAGTTGTCCTTTATGGATATTGTATCGGATAGCGGGTGCAAAATCGAACTTTTGACACATGGGCAGAGGTGCAATACCTGCACACCCGTGCTGCTCGGTAATGTCTTTGAAAAACCCATTTCAAAGGAAGTCGCCCGAGACACTCGTCTCGGAACGCTTGCTTTCATTGTGACATACACATGTGCCACAGGGTAGCTCGCCTAGGCTACAAGGCTCAGGTGTAATGTGGAGTCGACACCATGCCTCCCCTATAGTATATTTTGAGTCATTTCCTAACTGGCGAGTGTAGACATGATGGACTTGACTCCAAATTTTGCGAGCATTCATATTACATATGGATGGACTTAACTCCAAAACTGCATGCCCAAATTCCTTCGAAATCTCGACTTTCAAGGTTAAGGCCTAGGACCCTACTCGACCCTTCAACAAGCCTATCTTTGACACTCTGTCTACTCGTTGCTCTTATCTTGCTTATTCCTCGTCTTCTCTTCAATGTCCACTCTATGTGGTGTGTTAGATGGCACACCGTCCTCCTTGATCTCATCATGGTACAAGAGGCCCTCGTGTGGTCAATTGGTGCCATTTGAGGGTCGCCGCTTCTTTTATCGCAACGTGAGAGTTAAAACCTATTCTCTTCATAGTAAGGTTGTGACACTAGGACACTAGTTGCAAAGTCAATATAGCTCCAATATTTGTTAAACCCACGTTGAACAACTTTGGATTTCGTTCTAGTAATAACATAATATATATTTTAGAAAGTGTATATTTTATTAAACTGAGTGTTTGTCATAGTTGTCTTTGATGTTTTTGGTAACCAAATCTCAATAGTGTCTTATCTGTGTCTATGTTTCTTACCTGCATATTGTTTGCGAGACAACTATGGAGCAGTATGAATGACTTTCGCTCCAGAAAAGATATTATTTATATTACTGATTATGTTGTGCTTGGTATCACTTTCATTTTGTTCATTTGCCTTAATCCAATAGGTATATGATGTGACAAAATTCCTCGAAGACCATCCTGGTGGTGATGAAGTCTTGTTGTCAAGCACTGGTAGGGAACAACAAACGACGATGCTTTTTCATTGCAATATGCTCCTAATAACATTTGTTAAATGAACGGATCATAATATAATGTTTGAGGGCTTGTTATCTACAGGTAAGGATGCAACCAATGATTTTCTCGACATCGGGCACAGCAGCGCTGCTAGTGCAATGATGGAAGAATTTTACGTAGGCGATATCGATAGCTCGGTTATTCCTGCAAAAGGAGAGTACATTCCTCCAAAGCAGCCCCTATACAACCAAGACAAGACACTGGAATTCATTATCAAGGTACTCCAGTTTCTAGCTCCCCTGGTAATTCTGGGTTTGGCTTTTGGCATCCACATCTATACCAAAACGACTTAAACGTTGAAGTTAGTGATCGGTCCAGTGGCTTTTGGTTTTTAGGTCAGGTTTGTCTTCGCGAACTGAACATCGTTGTTTTTATTGTCTTCCTTTTATGGATTATTGAAATATTAGTCAAAAAGTGAAATCTAGTGATTGGTTCCTAGGCTATGATTTGTCAAAGATAGTCATTTATACCGATAAGAAGCGTACTAAATAATGGCGTGGTGATTGCCATGAATGGAGCGAGAGACCCCAACCTTGATTAGCTTGCACATGCAGGCTTTCCAACTCGGAAAAAGCAGCCCGCACCAAACTCAGTCATTTGGTGAAAGGTGTTTTACACTCTTACGAGATAGTGAAAACCACTCGATCGATTGGAACAAAATTTGTGCTATTCAGGCAAGCTTTCCCCTTTCTTTGTTGTGGAGTTCAATACATTGTTGCTTTAGTTTCGTCACCTAACCCGATCTCCTCCCCTCATTGAGACCTAACAAAATGATTCAAATTCCTTTCACTCACCCCAGATAAATACATACTTTTCTTTACTTGCGACAAATTCTAGCATTAATATGAGTTCATTGACCGCATAAGAGCAATCCACCTTGATGACGAATTCCACGATAACAAAAAAGAGAAATGAAAGTCGGTGAGATTTGGTTACCAAAAACATCATCGATAAAGAAGAGTTCTTGGCAATACTAATCATTTACAGGTTACAAATAGACTGAACCATTCTCGAAAGAGGGGGAAAAAGGGAAAAACTTTACTTAACAAAGAAAAGAGGCTCTGCATTGCTCTGAGTGTAAATTGGAACTATTCTGCACTTGTACATGTTCTTTCAATCACTTTGGAATCCGTCCTCAATGAATGTTTCGATGGCGAACTCGAACCCTTTGAAGAGCTATTCCCAAAGAAGCTCATTTTACCAAATTTCCTCGAGAACGAATTCATAAATTTACGAGAACTGGACTTTTGCATATCCCTCCTCATACAAACATGTTCTTTTTCGAGATCATTTAATCTCATCCGTAGTCGAGCCAGTTCAAGTTTTAGCTCCCGATTTTCCCGTCTCAGTGATGCATAATTGTCTCGTGGAGACATTGCTGCACTCAATGCACCACTGCTAATCCTCCATGATTGATGTGAAGGTTTGTAGTCTTCGTCACCACAAGAATTCGACAATGCGTTACGAAGCCTTAGTTGCTCGAAATAAAGGACTTGAACCATGCATTGGAGGGGAAGGCGCTCGTTTTGAGCAGCATGAGCTCCGGCCTCCTGCGAGAGCTTCTGAAAATCTATTAGCTTGCAGAGCTTCTTCTTGTCTAAGTCTGATAGACCTTGATGAGCCTGTGGCAATGAAAACATCAAAAGACACAATTATAGAACCTGGTGCACAATGTGAAAAACTGAAACCATGAAGAAATGAAGAACAGTCAGTTTACGAGGTTCAACTATAATCTCGTTCCTCGACTGGTAAAGGATCACCAAGTAACTATAAGAAAATACAACATGAACTCAAACTTAGGTCGTGAAAAAAGGAGCACATACGTACTTTAAGATAGATATCAATGGCTCGATATAATCCATCGTGGACGGTGCGTGCATGTGAAGGTAAGGAATCTGCAATGACCATGAACTTCGAAAGCTTGAGGTTTGCATCCGGGGCAATTTCAGCAAGGTAGTTGTCTACTAATTTGGATACTTTAAACAACGCACTTTGAGATGGCGAACGAGGACTATCCGATTCAAAAACGGAGGCGTCTTCCATATTGTCCTCGCTATCATCTTGTTGAGAGAAGTTTACCAAGATCCTGTGAACCGTGTCAACATCAAATAAAGTATCAGCTGAATGTTTGAAGGATGGAATCAGAAGATCATCAAGAGTAGCGATATCCAACTGAGATCCTATCCTTCTCTCGAGGTCAAGTCTGCAAGCAACAGAGCAATCAAGCATCACAGCACTCCTCAGAAGCCCAAAAAGGAAACTGATTGGAATAGCCAATTTTTCAACTGGAAAAAGGCTAACTATTGTTTCAACAACAAGTTTTTCTTGCCCGTATGAACTCGTAACAAAATCGACCTTTGTCTGGCCAGATGGGTTCCATAAACTGGATTTCTTTGTTAACTCCCTTTGAGCATAATTCACCAAGGATGCACCTATGCTCTCAGGACGAACCCCTCGACACTTCATGGCAGTAATGACTCGTTCATACAAGTCGATACGAAGAACAGAGATATCCTCAATCCACCAGTCGCTATCACACGTGGCCTGCTTGCTCATGTGAAGTCTCCCTGAACTGCTATACTCCAAGCGTGAGAAGCTCGAAGCAATTTGCTCTGTACAAGCTTTTGATGCTATTGCATCAATGCAGCGGCTAACTACTTTCAGCTCATCAGCTAAAGGGAGTAGATTCTCACATTGTTGCAACACTTCAACACACATTTCAAGGTTCTTCGAGACGATTCTCTCGAGATATTCTTCAGCTCGGGAACCAAGATTATCCTTCGAGAATTCTTCACTCATTTCAAGATAATCAGATGCACAACATAGCTGAGCAACATTTCCTGCAGTAATTTCGAAATTGATCCCATAACAGAATTTTGCTGCTAGCTCAAAAGATTCAGCACCTCCTGGTAGATTAAGAAGCTCCACCTTCGAGATGTCGGAATCCCTATGTTCTGCAACTAACCTTCGAATCCGCCCACTTCGAGAGACGAGAGGGAACTGCATTCAGTAGTTGAGTTAAACCAGTCATTCATTAGGAACTATAGATTTCAGCTATAGCATAGGCAGAATATATGTTCAAGTCCAGAACTCTAATGGATTTTCTCTATATACATTAATGCTTTGTCTCTACAAGTTCTTATGCAGGTATTATTCAGAAAAAACAAGGATGCTTGGGAGGGAGTCCCACGTTAGCTAATTTAGGAAATGATCATGGTTTATAAGGAAGGAACAATATCTCTATTGGCATGAGACTTTTTGGGGAAACTCAAAGCAAAGTCACGAGAGCTTATGCTCAAAATGGAAAATATCATACCATTGTGGAGAGTCTTGGTTCATGTCAATAGAATCCTCGAAAGTGTAGTCAAAAGTGACTCATGTGTCGAACAAATGGTGTACTTTGTTTGAGGACTCCAAAGAAGGAGTCGGGTCTCGATTAAGGGGGACTGTTTGAGGGCTCCATAGGCCTCAGGGGAGGCTATATAGTGACTTTGTTCAAGAAGAGGATGGTTGGAATGATCATGGGCTTATAAGGAAGGAACACTATCTCCATTGGTACGAGGCCTTTTGGGGAAGCCCAAAGCAAAGTTATGAGCGTTTGTGCTCAAAGTGGACAACATCATACCATTATGGAGAGTCGTGGTTCCTAACTAAACACAGTGGACACTACATAATTCAAGTCGTTAGTGTTACCTTATGCAAGGAGAATGTAACTCCAGCCACTTCTATTGTAATATCGCTAGGAACATCGCGGAAAATCCTACACAAATAAATAGCCAATTATTCACAAACAAAGGTGTCCAAATTTAGACTGCTAACTTCAAAAACTGTGCCAAGAAGAAAACAGCCATAGAGAGAGAGAGAGAGAGAGAGAGAGAGAGATCTAGCTCTTTGTTTTGCAATAAATGGATTTGGAGATACTTCAAAATCGAATGGAATTGTCTATGCCATTTACAAACTAAAAGAGAATTCACGCAGATTCCATCAATATGCAGCACACCATACAGAGAACAAAAAGTAGAAAGCATTGTGTAGCCAAAATAAATCTAGAATTTCAATATGGTAACCATGTAACCAATTAACCAACTCTTAAGATGACAGTCAATCAAAACAGAGCGTCTAAATCATTTCGGAACACACAAATCAGTGCTAAACGAGACATCAATTGATGTACCGTAAATAAATCCTAAACTGGACATGTAATGGCCCAAGTCCACCACTAGCAGATATTGTCCTCTTTGGACTTTCCCTCTCAAGCTTCCCCTCAAGGTTTTTAAAACGCGTCTGCTAGGAAGAAGTTTCCACACCCTTGTAAAAAATGTTTCGTTCTCCTCTCCAACTGATGTGGGATCTCACAATCCACCCCCCTTCGAGGCCCAGTGTCCTAGCTGGTACACTGTCTCGTGTCCACCCCCCTTTGAGGCTCATCCTCCTTGCTGGCACATCGCCCAATGTTTATCTGCTAGTATTTGTAATGGCTCAAGCCCACCGTGAGTAGATATTGTCCTCTTTGGGCTTTTCTTTTCGAGGTTCCCCTCAAGGTTTTTAAAATACGGATATTGTCCTCTTTGGGCTTTTCTTTTCGAGGTTCCCCTCAAGGTTTTTAAAATACGTCTGCTAGGGAGAGGTTTCCACACCCTTATAAAGGATGCTTCGTTCTCCTCCCCAACCGATGTGGGATCTCACAGAACATACTGGCTTGCGTAGAAAAGCTCCAACGTGAGAGAAAACCAGCACGACAACGTTGACTCTTCAGAACATTCAAATATGAGGGATGACTTTTTTTAAGCACGCTTTCATTGAGAGAAATAAAAGAACATACAAGCATACAAGAAAAATAAGCCCCAACAACAACAAAAAAAAAAAAAAAAAAAAGAAAGAAAGAGTAACACTAACTATAGATAAAAACTTCAATCGAAAACAACAAGACCCAGCTCAAAATTCAAGTGACTATTAGCACAAACTATCTAGACCAGATAACAAGCACGCCAATACCAAAATAGCAGAGAGATCTTGCTGGGTTAGAATGGCAGAAAGTACAAAAGAACAATGATCAAAATAGCAGCATTACACCATAGCTTGTAGGATATAACCAACGACCCAAGTTAACTAGTACACAAAACTGCACAAAAGCCAAATTAACATGTACTCAAGAGCTAGCTGAAAACTACACAGACCAAAAGACAATCAAAGAACAAACAAACAAACAAACAAACCATTCGTTGCAGCGGTGGCGCACAGACTTAGCAAGAGACAACTGTTGCTGGAGCTGGAGCTGCAGCATGTCGCTTCGGTCCATTCAGAGGAAGCGAGCCAAGGGAGAGCTTAGGAAACAAAGGGTGTAAAGAGACATAAACAGAGACAGAGACCCAGTTGAGGAAAGGTGAAGAAGTTCTTTGGCGACTTTCGTCGAACAGGTTGAGTGCATTGTTGCAAATCACTAGATTACAATCTTCCTTTCCAATGGGGCCTTATTGGTGGGTCATACCTTTGATTAGCACGCCACAAATTGTTTGCCTTCCCATCAAACCTTGCTAGATTCACTAATTTTGTGCCTTCTTTTTGGGTTTCTTCCTTTTTTCCTCTGTGATCATTTGTGCCCTGTTTGAGCAGGCAAACAAGCGCGATAAAGGGGCAAGAAAATCTGCAATCTTTGAACGAACAAAAAAAGTCAAAAATCCATTCCAAACTGTGCGATCAAGGAATCAAAAAGAATTATAAAAGAGCGGGAAAAAGTCGTTATTTCGTTTGACAAATCATGATCTCATTTTTCCAAGTCTTCTCCTTCACCCTTTATGAACCGTAAAAGTTCAAATCTTTTTTCCTTTTATTCTCACTTAGGCCCTCAATCTTTTACTTATTACCATGCACACCCCAAAATTATCATACCATTTATTTCATCATTATTGTGCTAAATTATAAATTATAAAAAAAGTAACCCACAATTATCTTCTTTTAATATTCCAAAACTACCCTTACACAAAAATTAAGAATTAAAATATCGTGTCCGTGACCTGAAAATAAAAATTTTAAATTAGAATCTATTATATTATTCAGGTTACCCGCCAAACTTATTCTAAATTTTTAGTCATAATAATTTTGAAATATTTATAAAAAATTAAAAGGGTATTATTGTAATTTTGAAATTATATATATATATATATATATTAAATAAAGGATACATACGTTTTTTTTCTTGTATTTTAGCCTAATTTTAAATTATCTTCTTAAATAATTTATGCATATTTTGGAAAAGGAAATTCCATCAAAAGGACAGCCAATCTTTGATTTGATAGTTAAGAGTTATTATTTGTGGTTGTAATTTTGGTTGTTAATTATATATTGTAATTATTGATTAATTGGCAACATCAATTTGACAATTAATGAAATTTTATGAAATTTAAGATCAATTTATATTTTTTTAAAAGAAAAAAAAATAGACGTGAATTAAAAATATTAATGTTTAATTGTTTAAAAATATGAATTAAAAAAGTTCAGAGACATACACCTTTAACTATAAAAATTTAGTTAAATCTAGAGTAACAAAACCTAACGCTGAGTTTCGATGTCACTGACTTGCATCAAATCATTTTAAAAATAGCGTGAGTATTACCGTACGTACGGAACTTCTTATTAAAGTCAAATAAGGTAAATTATTATAGGATTAATTAAAGAAAATCAAGAGACCTTAGTAGTTAATTACTCGAACATACATCGTCTAACCTTTGACATTTACTCTTTCTACCAAATAGACATAAAACTCAAAATTTAGAAACTAAACTCGTAATTCAATCCATAAAATAATATATATATATAAATTAATGTAATTTTGAATTATTTTTTTTAAAAATAAACTATCCAAATTGAATCTAATCGAATCTTTAAACTTTTATCAAATAAATTCCTAAAGTTTAAAAAATTTCTCACCCGTCCCTAATACATTTTTTTTTTGTCAGCACAACATAATTTAATAGATAAAATATAAATTATCATTTAAAAATCGATAATTCGTTCTCGAGTCTGAAAAGAACACATTGGAGTACGAAAGAAGCAAATAAATAAAAAAATAATAAAAAAGAAAAAAGAAAAAAAAGAAGGGAGTGGGGGACTAAATAATAAAACTTATATAAGATGCCAAGATGAAAAAGTAGGCAAAAAGAAAGTATATTATTCTCCTTTCGGCACTTACCCAAATAATAATAATCATCCTTTTTCTTTTCTTTCATTTCACTTTCCCACACACCACATAAACCAAACGAACTTAAGGACCTAAAACACGATTAAAATTGTGAGATCCCACGTCGGTTGGAGAGGGGAACAAAACATTTCTTATAAGGGTGTGAAAACCTCTCCATAGTAGACGTGTTTTAAAATTGTGAGGTTGACGACCATACGTAACGGACCAAAGTGAACAATATTTACTAGAGGTGCATTTGGACTGTTACAAATGGTATCAGAGCTAGACATCGGACAGTGTGCTAGTGAGAATGTTGGGCCTCCAAGGGGATGGACTGTGAGATCCCACATCGGTTGGAGAGGGGAACAAAACATTTCTTATAAAAGTGTGGAAACCTCTCTCTAGTAGACGCGTTTTAAAATGTGAGGCTGACGACGATACGAAACGGGCCAACGTGGACAATATCTGCTAGCGGTGCGCTTAAACTATTACAACAATCCAATCTTATCCTTCTTTTAAATAAGAATATTTAACATTTGTAACAGATGTCAGTGATGCGTTATGACTCGTAAATATTTGATATTTGAATTTTATGAGATTTTAGTTATTAATGTTCGAGTTATGATCCAAGAGATTTTGTGACCTAACGAGTCTAAACTCCTATAACTCATTAAGTCGACCGACTTAATTTTGATTATTTTTACAATTTTAGGTTCTCGTAAAAAAAATTAGGGTTAGAAATAAAAAGCGAGAATATAATTATTAAAAAGCATATAGAATATGATTGCCCACCAGCCCTAAGGTAGGGTCACTCTAGGGATCATTATTTTTGGACCCATACCCTTATAATTCATATCATATCTCTTCCACCACCGCATCAAAACAAAAATAACTTTCCGCTTAAGACAAACTCTTTTAAATGTATGTTGGACATGCATGTATCGTCGACATGTATATGTATGTATCTATATATATATAGGCTATTTACTATTAGCGACATTTTTCGTTTCTCGAACGAGTGTCTAGGAGCATTAGAGATTGTACTAAGACTACAATGAGACTCGAAAAAAAATTTATAGCCATGTGTACAAGACCTCAGAATCCAAATCCGAGTGTGAAAACTCTATTCGTAGCATTTGAAGCCTTAGGTGAAAAACCGAGTCACGGCTAATATTTTTCAACCGTCTTGTCGTGTGAAGAATGTTCAAACGGGATGAAATTGACACATATTTTCAGTAGAAAAAGACCTGTTGTCAATGATATCCTTATAAAAAATTGACCCGAAAAAAATCTGAAATAGTTTATTCCCTATTTGTTTAAAAACTATTAATTTCTAACCTAGGTAAACCAGTTGGAGTTGGGGGTGGAACCTTCTTAGCCAGCCGGGCCACTAGACTACCGTAATGGGGTGTCCAAACTCCACACTTCATTGGACCAAGACCAGCAAAGGGTCACGAGATTCTATTCCAATTTTCGAGGCCTAAAAGCTCGATGCTCTGATTGAAAAAAATCAGTGGGGTCATGTCGGTATGACTGCCTCTCCAACTTAGTAAGTGGCTCTATTTTTTTTTCGATCGGGATAAAATTGTTTCTCTCCCATGCTATATTCATAATTAGGAGGAAAACGTATTTAATTGATTCAAATCAATTCGTATTAATTAATTTGAGACAAAAAAAAAAAAAAATCAAAATCTTCTTAAAAACCACCAAATTAGCCAAAAAGAAAAAATATATATATAAAAATATAAAAATGATTTAATAATGTTTTGAAAAACACATTGCATCATAAACAAGGGATTACTTACCAACTAGGACACCAATAATTCTACAAATTTATTTATTTATTTTCTCTTTTTCTTAAAAAAAAAAAAAAAAAAAAAAAACCCACAAAATTTTTATTTTTATTTATTTATTTATCTTTTTATTTTATTTTTTGAAAAAAAAAAATTGTGAAAGGGAAAGTGAGTGTTCATCATTCGGTGTATTGCATGCGAACTCATAAGTCATAATCCAAATATTTGATAAGACATACATTCAAAGCATCCAATGTTTACTTCAATTTTTCTTTATTTTTTTTTATTTTTATTTTTTATTTTTTTTTTTTATTTTCATTTTTTCCCTATGAAATTTATTTATAAATATTTTTATTTTATTATTTTTCATTTTCTAATGCACCCTTCCCTGATTCTTTTTATTTCCTGTCTCTAAATTTTTAAAATGATTATATTGTCTTTTTTGGGCTTTTCTTTACGGGCTTCCCTTCAAAATTTAAAATGCTTGCTAGAGAAAGGTTTCCACACTCTTATAAAGAATGCTTTGTTCCCCTCTCCAACCGACGTGAGATCTCACAATCCACCCTCTTGGGGGCCAACGTCCTCACCGGTGCACACCGCCCAGTGTCTAGCTCTGATATCATTGTAACAACTCAAACTCACTCACAATCCACCCTCTTGGGGGCCAACGTCTTCGCCGGTGCACACCGCCCAGTGTCTAGCTCTGGTATCATTGTAACAACTCAAACTCACTGCTAGCAAATATTGTTCTATTTGGATTTTCCCTTTTTGACTTTTCTAGAGAGCAAATATTGTTCTATTTGGATTTTCCCTTTTTGACTTTTATCACTCTTATAAGAAATGTTTTGTTCTCCTCTCCATCCGAAGTGGAATGTCACATACATAATATTATCTCATATTTAGTAATTTTGAACATGAATTTATATGAATTCAAATAATTGAAACGATTCTCGTTGGGTAACGTTTTTGTTTTTCGTTTTGAAAATTAAAAGCAAAGTTGCATAGCTTAATACTATAATGCACAGTTATCTCAATAGTATTCCCTCTCAAAAGTTTTTAACTACTTGCATCCTTGAGCGACATTGGAGGGAGAAATTGCTCTTTCCTTGTGCCTATTTTACCCTGAAGGATGTAACTTCTTAACCGCCGCAGTTTCGACTCCTGCTAATACTTTAGCACACTCTTTGTTGTTACTGCAGAGTCCTGAAGCACAAGGAGATTTTACTTTGTCAATTAGGTGGTCTGTGGACTTTTGTTTCTCTCCACGGTGCTTTCGAACTAATAGGTTAAGGATGTCATGTTCATAACTTCGTACACTCTAGTCCTGTGATACGTAACGGGTCAAAGCGGACAATATCTACTAGAGGTGGGCTTGAGCTGACACAGATACTGTCTCATATCATGGCTCGAGCATCCCCGAGCAGACTTTCATCAATTGTCATCCCAGGCTCTATAGCCAGATGTGTCAAGTCCTCCATTGTTCTTGCCCGACAGACTGCCCTTTAGTTGCCTTGCTACCACCACGACAGCGCGGTCCGACATCACAGCCTGATGATTCTTCAACATTAGAATCCAAGACCGATATTCGCGGCCGAAGTCGTTGGTTGATTATGCCTAACCTGTGGAACTTTCAGGACTACCCTCGATCTTAACATTGTTTTGAGATTCTGAATCATCGACACGGTCAATACAACGAACATTACCACGAATAAATAATAGATGTATCGACTAAAAAGAATCTATGATTGTTATCTCTATCCCGACTTACGCACGAGTCTACCGACGGGACTGCTGCTAACTTCGCTGGGAAGCTGAAGAATATACTCAGGGATCGTCGAGCCAACCAAAGGCTGATCAACCTCATTACTAAAGTTGTTGCAATCGTGACCCAACAAGCTGTAAGTTTCAGCTGAAATGCATAAGAGAATCAACCACTCACAAAATCAGTGTAACGTTGAGTTCAACGTGTGAGAATTTGAATGTCTGACCACTCGGTTAAGGATATATACTTTAACTAGTTAAGTTATGCTTAAATCGACTTTGGAGTGAGAATTTGCAAGAAAGCGATATCATGCGATACTTCATCAACAAAAATCGACATTACTAATGTAGAGACAAGTAGTGTTCATTGTCCTAACACCAGTTCAAGTAAGAAAAGACTATCTTGTGCTATCGCAACAGTAGCACAATTTATAATGCCCGAACTTTTCGTAAAGGAGACTTGATTCATAAGATCAACTCATCAAAATATACATATAAATTTCTTAGGATTCAGACCAAGATTTAGAATTTGAATTTGGCACCTGATGGTCCTGACATTCTCCTACGTCTACTGCGATATGACTATGTTCTTACTTGTCTTGAACTACTTCTAAATGCGAAAACTATAGTCACAAACCAACACGTATCATTTTCGCATGTATTATCTCACTCACATGATTTTTAGGAAATTTTCAAGAGGTCATCCTATGTGAGATTCCACATTGGTTGGAGAGGGGAACGAAATATTCTTTATAAGGGTGTGGAAACTTTTCCTTAATAGACATGTTTTAAAAACTTTGAAGGAAAGTCCGAAAGGGAAAACCGAAAGAGGACAATATCTGCTAGCGGTGGGCTTGGACTATTACATCCTACATACCTCCAAGTTAAACATACTCAACTTTAGAGTTCATATGATTGAACTACCTAAAAAAGAATGGTACAACTTGTTAGTATGAGTAGTAACTATGAGATCCGATATTGGTTGAGGAGAATGAAGCATTCTTTATAAGGGTGTGGAAATCTCTCCCTAGTAGTCGCGTTTTAAAAACCTTGAAGGGAAGCTCGAAAGGAAAAGCCCAAAGAGGACAATATCTACTAGTGGTGGGCTTGAGCCGTTACAGTAACTATCAATACTTTTACACATTTCTTAACCATAATTTCATATCTTTAAAAACGCTTTCAATTTGATGTAGTCTCAGTTTATCCATATACTACTCTTTTAATTGGGTACCAAGCAACATAATATCTTAGCAAAGTTCAGCACTTACCATATGCCTTTAATGGGTTTCCCTAACAATGTTGTCAAGAACTGTCGAGCCGATCCGCGGCTGAGGTCGTATAGATTCAATACAACTCTGTGAGACTCCTTGCATTGTGAGGTTGCAAACACAAACAACATTACTCATTATTTACATGTTGGTAATTGTCAAAGCAATTTAGGAGTACAATGGGTATTGAGCCATAGCCCCACACATGGAAAGAAAGACATCTCTCTTCAAAGTATAGGAGATCCCACGTTAGTTGGAGAGGAGAATGAAACTTTTCTTATAAGAGTGTGGAAACCCCTCTCTAACAGACGTGTTTTAAAAACTTTGAGGGAAACCTCGAAAGAAAAAGCCTGGAGAGGACAATATCTGCTAGCGGTGAAGTCTGCTAGTAGATATTGTCCTCTTTAGGCTTCTCGTCTTAAAACTTTGAGGGAAAGCCCAGAAGGGGAATCCTAAAGAGGACAATATTTGCTAGCGATGAACTTGAGTTGTTACAAATGGTATCAGAGTCAGACATCGAGCAGTGTGTCAGTTAGAACACTAGGCCCCTAAAGAGGTGGATTGTGAGATCCCACATTGGTTGGAGAGGAGAACGAAACATTCCTTGCAAGGGTGTGGAAACCTCTCCCTAGTAGACACGTTTTAAAAACTTTGAGGGAGCCCGAAAGTGAAAACCTAAAGAGGACAATATCTACTTGCGGTGAACTTAGCTCCTACAAACTAAAACGTCAGCCATCTTTCCCAAGGAAAATTTGAAGAGCCTAGAAGTTGTATTCAAAAGAATCCAAGTAAGTAAAGGAACAAAATCCAAATTAATTTCATTGCGTAAATAAATCAAACACTTCATGTGCAACTTTCAAAATCACTGCAAGCAGAGCAACCAACCGCAGGAAGAAAGAAAATCTCAAAGCTCATACTAAACCAATTAAAGGCATAAACATATACTGAAAATCATACAAATCAATCATAAACCATGAAACGATAGGCAGACGCAATAATCAAATCCCAGAACGCAGAAACAAAGAGACGTCAACAGATTATGAAGAAGAAAGAATCGCAGTGATCTGAGAAATGGAGAAAGGGAGAAGAAAATTGATACCCATTGAAGAAATGAGTCATCGGCAATCAGAAACCACGTCGATGGTGGAAGCCGCGAAGAAACCGATCTGTTGAATGGCTCAATATGTGGAATGGAGAGTTGTTTGAACCATTCTTAACTCGCATTTATGAACCATATCCAACCCATTTTATATTTTGGCCTCTAGAGATTACAGAGTTCGAAATTTGGTGTGAAAACTCCTCCTTAACATATGGTTTTAAAATTGTGAAGCTGACGAGGATACATAGCGTGTCAAAGTGGATAATATCTGTTAACGATGGGCTTGAATTGTTACAAGTGATATCAGGGTCAAACACCGAGTCGTGTGTCACTAAGACACTAAGGTGGATTGTGAAATCTCACATAGTTGGTAAATAAAACATTTATTGTTAAGGTGTAGAAATGTCTTTCCTAATAGACACGTGTTTAGATTATATATATAAAAAAAAAATTCTAAAATTTCTACAGAGAATCTGAGGCTGATTCTTGTAAAAAAAAATCATAGAATTTTTCGAGACTGAAAAATCAGGTGTGATGGGACTTAGATTAAATTATATAACATCCACATCTCGATCCTATGAACATCGATTCACATGACACAGCCTTAAAAATTCATAAACCGATTAAGTTATAAACAACGATAGATCTAGAACTTCACGATATATGTATAAATTTGTATAAAGTTTAAATTTCATCTCATAAACTTCTAAAATTTTTTTGTTTATACAAACTTTTCGGGGATCTATAAAATTAAAAATTATATTATACATAAAATTTAACTATATTTAAGTATTTAAAAATTTTAACTTTATCTATTATTTAGAAAAAAATTAAAATTAAAATTTAATAAAATAATTAATTAAAAAAAAAGAGATTTAATATGAAACTTTATAGATTTGTAGTCTATTAAATACTTATTTAACATAAAATTAAAAAAATTTAATTAGAGACTTATAATTTAATCTTCAAATTAATTAAAATATTATTTTTTAATTAAAGTAAGAATGATATATTTAATTACTCGTTTTTAAATATTTAAATAAAAATTTTAATTCAATATTTATATATTTTGAAAATTTTTACAAATAGATAAATTAAAGTTATTTTAGAAGTGATGAGAGGATAAATAATAATAATAATAATAAAATTAAATAAAAAGAAATATCTATATACATTTTAAAAAATTATATTTATGTATTAATTTTTAATTTAAACTAAATTAATTTTATTTTCGAAATATATATATAAATGGGGAACCGTTCACCCAATCCCCAACCCTAACTCTTAGCAATTTTTCCCGCGCTTTCTCTCTGTCTCTCGTCTCTTTCCTACGAACTTCTCTCTCTCTCTCTCTCTCTCTCTCTCTCTCAGAGCTCTGTTCATTGAGAACGGAAGAGAGAGATCCCAAGAACCCTACTCTCTAACATTCATGGGAAAGTACATGAAGAAATCCAAGCTTACTGGCGACATTGCTCTCATGGAAGTCTCAATGCTGTCTTCTCAGGGACTCCGTCCTAGAGCGGCTAAAATCCTTGCCTTACAGCGCCTCAACAAGTCCTCCTCTCAATCTGTCGCTGCTTCCAGTCCTACGCCGCTTTCTTCTTCTTCTTCTTCCTATTTGCATCTTCGGAGACGCCGGCTTGAGAACGGCGAGTGTTGCAGAGCTCGCTTAACTCCTGAATGTTCCTCGACTGGTTCACGCTTGATGCGGGATTCGGCGAATTCGGAGAAGAGTGGAAATGTTTCGGATGTCGAAGACTGTCGGGAATTTGGAGGTGAAAATTGGTATGGTTTCTAGAACTTTTCTGGAAGTATTGTTATTTTTGTTCAATTTTAGCTCAGTGTTCTTTGATTTATTGGCTGCTATTTTATTGTCGTTTTCGTCCATATTTCGTTTTGCTCTGTTAAAATGGTTGTCTCTAGTTCATCGGTTTCACTGATTTCCCCTTTTTTGATCATATTATATGTATGTCTTCGGAATTTTGTTTGCTCATAGGGTTGATGTATCGATTTCTAGTCAAATGGATGGGCTCACTCTGCGAACATGTGCTATCGTTTGACTATTACTATGTTCGTACTGGGTTTTCCCCCTTTTATTGACTTTGCTTTCCACTTCACATCCTGTAGTTCTATTGTTTCTATCTGTGGCTGTGGTGCATCTTTCGTGAAAGGCTAGTTAAGCTGATAAGATGTGACTTTAGGAGTACTTCTTTAGTATATGCATCTCTTTTATGTCTGGCCCAACTGCCCCCATGTAGCTTTTAAGCATCGCAGGTTTTATTTTCCAATATATGACAAAATTTCTTAATTTTTCTCTGCTACCAAGAATATGTTATAGACTTAAATTGTTGAATTTTTGTTGCTACATCAGCTTTTGGCATGAAAACTTTGGATAATGTGTCGGAAATGGCCGAAATAGCTCAATTGGTAGAGTAGAGGACTGAAAATTCTCGTGTCACCAGTTCAAATCTGGTATTAAAATAAGGATAATGTGTCGAAAATGACCAGGATAGCTCAGTTGGTATGAAAATCCTGTCACCCGGTTTAAATCTGGTATTAAAAGAAGGATAATGTGTCAGAAATGGTCGGAATAGTTCAATTGGTAGAATAGAGGACTGAAAATTCTCACGTCACCAGTTCAAATCTGGTATTAAAATAAGAATAATGTATCGAAAATAGCCAGGATAATATGTTAAAAATGACCGAAATAGCTCAGTTGGTAGAGCAGAGGACTGAAAATCCTCGTGTCATCCATTCGATCAAAGTTTTACTTGCATTAATTTGATTGAAATAGTTATTGCCTGCAGCATATGTCGTTTTCTTGGGGCTGAGCCTAGTTTGGTACTTGAAACGTGTAGGTAACAAGAAGTTATATTTTATAAAATCTATTTTGTGCCATATTTTGTACTAATAGCCAAATTTGAGCTTGTCCCATTAGACTTGGCATATTCCTTCCAAGAGATTCGATGCCGTGCAGTGTGTACATGAAAAGTAAACGCTACTTGGAAAAAGAAGGGATAGTAAATTTAATTAATGTATTCTTAAGGGCAAGCTTTTGAACTAGTTAGTCGAGTCGATCAAGCATAAACAGATATTTTTTTTCTAAAACTAGTCGGAACCTCAGTATTCTATAACTCTTCGGAGGTTTACAAATTTTCACTAAGTGATTCAAGCACTGTTGTGTAGGGGAACTGCAGAAAAAATACACGGCAGCATGGCTAAGGATTCAAGCACCAACGAAACACCTCTTTCAACAAGGACGGAGATGAATTCATGTTCAACCAAATCAAGAGGACAGATGGAATTGCTTAAAAGTTTCCCTACAGCAAATGATATAGAGGAGTTCTTCGCACAGGAAGAACTATGGCAACAAAGAACATTTATTCAAAAGTAGGTGAAATAATTTATCTTTATGATACGTGCTTTGATTAGAAAATCATTATCAAGATTATGTTTAGATAGTGTTGCTAGAGCCAACTCTATGAACGAACTATAGCAGCAGTGAGCTCAAGAGCGAACTGATTGAGTTGATCGAGTTGATCGTTAATTTTTGTGTAGGATATGCTTTTCTGTCTGTCATGTCGATCACCTTACATGTGTGTGGATCTTTGCAGGTATAACTTCGACTTCGCAAGTGATATGCCCCTCCCAGGACGATACGAATGGGTGCAAGTGGCTCCTTAAGTAGCTATGATCTCAAATATCTCTATCGAGCTCGCGTTGGGGATCCCGAGATGGGTCGAAGACAGGCATTGAGCTCACCATAGTACCACAAAGTTAGGACATCTCATACTAACCGGCTTTTAATCCATCTTTAGTTGGAGACATTTGGGGAAATGGGTAGTATATATGCATTTGTAATACTTATTATGTTAGCCGCTTGTGCGGTCTATATGTGGTTAGTTTGTCTTGGAAAGTAGTAAAATAGTGTACGTACTTTCTCACTGTTCATAGTTCCGTTTGTAATCGCAGCACCAAATGAAGAATATTAGCATCCTAAAACGAGCATCGAGTGGCAGTTAGTTTCGGGAGCCAACATCATCAAATTTAGGAGGCGGTGATTTAATCAGTTGATTTAAGGGTTGGGTTAGGTTTAAAAGGATTTCGAGTTTGGGATGAGTTCGGAACTTGATCCGGTTCGGATTGAGTTTGGGTTCGAAATTCAAATTATTGGGACAACTTAACCTAACTCGAAAACCTTAAAAAAAGAAAAGAACAAGGCCCAAGCGTACGTACACTTTGCTTAGTGCAGAGTGTCTCTCTCTCCTCTTCGATACACGAGATTGAATTAATGATTATTTGTTTCTCTTTCTGCTCTTCGATATATGATATGAAGTACGCTTTTCCATCGTTCTCATTTTTCTCATTGTCTCTCTACTCTTCGTCTTCTTCGTTCTCGTCTTATATGTTCATCTTCGTCGTTTGCCTCTTTATTTCTCCGTTGACGTCGTTCTCATCTCATAGCAGACGTCGAAGTCGCTCGCTAGTCGCCTCTTTATTTCTTCGTCGGACTCTCTTCTCATTTCCCATTTCTCAGTTAGACGTCTTCTCTATGTTTCTTGTCAAACGTCATCACCGACTCTCTCCACTTACATTCCATTCCACTTTTGTCAGACTTCTCCGATCTATATTTTTCATTGGACTTCTCCACTTTTGTCTCTACTCAATTTGGAACAACCTGAACCCAACAAAAAAAATAGAGCATTGGATTATGTTGAGCTGTGAAAATTTTCGAATTCTCCACTTGACTTCTTATCTCTACTCAATTTGGAACAACCTGAACCCAACCCAAAAAAAAATAGAGCATTAGATTGTATTGAGCTGTGAAAATTTTTGAATTGGGTTAGGTTACCAATCCAACCAACTCGAACTTCTGAGTTAGTCCAAAAAAAATCTCTCAACCCAACCCGACCATGTACACCCCTACTACTCATGAAAGTAAAGTTTTAGATTTAAATTGATATAATTACTAGTTTGACAGAGTGGATTTATAAACGACCCGACCATTGCAACAATACAGAACTAGATCGTCCATGAGTCAACCAAGTGAGTAGGCTTACAAAGACAAGTGCAAATCAAAGCAAATAAGTGATAAAGAAACTATATCAACACCAAACCATCCATTTACCATAACATAGTTGAGCAATTGGCTATTTTCTTTCAGAGATGAAAAACTCCTGTATGTGCAGAAAGCCCTTTTGAGTATGCTTTGATCTGTTGGTATATCATATTTATGAATCTGGAAAAAAGAATGATAATCTTTTAGAGGAGCTATTACTCCAAGATCCTCTGTCGTTCCTACTCGACGCTCTTCTATCTGTGTGTGGTGTGTTTTTGCAGATTTAATCTCAACCTGTAGGTGTAAAATGGCTAATAGGAACCAGCTTTTGCATACACTATGAAACGCTAGCCGATTCTTGCCTAACTGATGCACTGTGATCATGATCATCAGAAATTACACTCTCACTTGGCAATTCGATAGACGCGTCTTTGGAACAGCTGAATGCATCAGTTGGAATGTTGATGCCAATGAAACCGATCATGACAGCCACCGCGCCGAGGTAATCCATGAGATGTGGGGCATTGCCTGTTATTGAATCGACAATGGCAGCTAATGGAACTTGAATTGTGAGACCAGCTGTTGCTACTGTTGTTGTGGTTAGAAGAACGGCTTTTGCCCACAAGTAATCACTCAGCACATTATCCAACAATCCTGTACATCAACAGGAAGTCCCAGTTCAATATAAGATTTGAATATGATACAAACACTTGGAAGAAGGATGAAAAGAAATATATACCCTACAAACATGAAAAGAAACTGAGAGATCCCATGTCATTTGGGAGGAGAACAGAACAAAACATTCTTTATAAGGGTGTGGAAACCTCTTCCTAGCAGACGCGTTTTAAAAATCTTGAGGGAAAACTCGAAAGGGAATGCCCAAAAAGGATAATATCTGCTAGCTGCTATAGGCTTGGATTATTACAAATGATATCAGAGCTAGACACTGGACAATGTGTCAGCGAGGAGGCTGAGCCCAGAAGGGAGGTAGACACGAGGCGGTGTACCAGCAAGGACACTAGGTCCCGAAGGGGAGTGGATTGGGGGGTCCCACATCAATTAGAGAAGGGAACAAGTGTCAGCGAGGATGCTGGCCCCAAAGGGGGATGGATTGTGAGATCCCAGATCGGTTGGGAAGGAGAACGAAACATTCTTTATAAGGGTGTGGAAACGTCTCTCTAGCAGACGCGTTTTAAAAACCTTGAGGGAAAATCCAGAAGGGAAAGCCCAAAGAAGACAATATCTGCAAGCGGTAAGCTTGGGCCGTTATGAACAAACTTGGTGTACATAAGGCAATACAAGATTTGTCAAGAACTACGAGGAAACAGAAAACATGGAAGCACTTCGGGAACGGTGCTAAAAGTAAATTCTATGCAGTCATTACAAGTGCAATATCTTTATTGCATTGCATTACAGTACTTGGGGCTAGTTTGGGACGACTTTTGGAATGGTGAAAAGTATCTCTGGGCCGATTAAAACCACTGAAAAAGCGCTAAATTATTGTTAATGCTACTTCCAAAAGTATAGAATATGTGCTATCACATAAAAGTAATTTTCTTAAAAAGCCGTTTGCATACTCTCCATTGGAAGGCTAGCCCTCAGCTCGTACTGCAAGTTCTCTTAATGCGTCCTTCATCATGCATAGTTTATGATGTTGCAAAATGCTTATATAACAAGACCAAGTTTTTCAAACAATTCCATGCATGACATCTATGAGGGTGGGTTTGAAACAATCAAGTGCCCAAGCACCATGAATAAGAGATAGGATTCTTGAAAGTCAAGTTCAAACATCTACTAAATAGTGCTTACGTTGTGGTAATTAGCCACCCAAAGGTTCTGCCCACCTAATTTTTTTATAAGAAACATCAAAGGGGTATATATTTCAAAAGAAGAAGCAAGAACAGCCAAGGGGCCGAGAGTAGAGAGCACTCCCTCCCAACTACTACACACTACACAAAAAGAGCCTACCAATTCCTAATAATCATTAACATGCTGTAGTTACAAAGGAATTTCTTTTGTGTAAGGCTATCCACCAAGAGGGATTAGAATCTCCTAATGCACCATGTTCAAAGGAAAGATTCATGAAAATCATGAGTACTTTATGAAAGTATGTTTATTCAAGATTTAATATGTCCAACCTCCAAACATCCAAAACAAAGAGCATACAAGCTTCAAACAGGTGGAGAGAGCTAACAGTCTGGAAAAAAATCAACGAAAAAGAATAACTAAGTCTGGTAAAGATGTTTACGGACCTTTAGCAACAATCATGCCGACTTCCTTCCAAGTCCGCAAGTGAAATGGTTCCACTTCGGCGAATTTGATTATAAGGGCAACAGGAAGGAAAATAACAAGGTTGAAAAGCCCAAGGAACCCAAGAAATTGTGCCATACTAGCTTTGCCAGTCGTCTCATCATCATCCGGCAGTTTCTTGCGAATAAGGGTAATGTATACAGCATATAAACCTGCTGAGACAAGCGAAAGAACATCACCAAGTAGAGGATTTGAAGAAGTCTTCAACGTCGTCTCAGATTGCGAGTCTCCCAGGCTGACAATTATTGTGCCTCCCATACAAAGGAGAACACTGGCGAGCTTCACCCATGTAAACTTTTCACCCAAAAATGCTAGAGAAACCAAAAATGTAAAGAGGCTGGAAGCACTGCTAAGGATAGTATTCGACTACAATAAAACAAAGGAAAGGGAGCTATGAAATCCAATGTGATAAAATCAGCAATGACCAATATAACAAAAGAGAGGAACTGGATCATCACTTACTGTAACAGTAGTATACTTCAATGATAGATTAAAAGTGAGCTGAGCAAGGAACCAAAAAGGGCATATCAATAAGCTAACTTTCGCTACTCTCGTGCGTGTCCAACGCCCTTTTTCATCCACTTGTTTGTCGTGAGATGAGTATCCTGTCTCTGAAAGTATACTTTCTCCCTTCAAAATTGGTCGTCCATCTTCCAAATGCATATGCAGGGAGGGATTGTAATGATCAATATTTGTAACAAGATCGGTTTCTCCAAGAAGTATGGCCTGCTCTGGTTCCTCCCTCAATTCTTGTAATGCATCAAAGTTTTTGTATTTCCAAAACAACAAACTTCCATACTTATCCTCCAGGAAGCGAGCAATTTCAACAATGGGGATGTAAATAACAAACAATGAATTGCAGATGTATGTAACAAGGAATGGTGAAACACCTTCATCAACAACGGATTGAACCACAAAACTAGCAGCTATCCATATGGTTGCAACCAAAAATATGTAAAACAAACCGATTCCCCATCTCCAAACTTCATTTTTCATCTCTTGCAAAAGCCGATACAATTTATCCCAAATTCGAACCACAAAAACCCTAAAAAGACAAACCTCTTCTTTGTTTATAACAAAACGCAGCCATAAGTTTCACTCTCCAAAGCAAATTTAACCTGAACGCAACCAAAAAGACACTCAAATCCAAGGAAGAAGAAAAGAACACGAATCAGAACAGAGTGCAACCAAATTCCAGAAGAAGGTAATATTTACAGGTATCATCGAAATGGAAAAGCGCAGATTTGCAATTTAAATAACGATCGAGGTCCGAAGTCAAACACATGCGTCAGAAATCATAGAAGCGTTATAGAATTATCATCTTCCTGTGCACACCATGAAATCCAGTCGTCAATTTTGGTACTAATTTAGGCCAATGGAAGATTCATGCGGTAGAATGAAAGAACCGGAGAAGAAAAATGTAACCTCGGCGGCGAATCAACAGGAACCCAAAGAAGAAATTGAGAGAAAATATTGTTGGGACGTCATGGCAATTTCAGTGACCTCTAAAACTTGAAGAATCGTCAAATGATTGTTCGTCGTCAAAGAAACATCCACATAATTTCCAATCTTCTTTTAATTATAATAATAAAAAATAAAAAACAAAAAATAAAACTGTTCATTTTCTTTTTTCTCTTCTTTTCTAAAAATTAAGCTAACATTTGCTATTTTTACCTA